AGACTAGAAGTGACATAAGGACAGTGATGGAGGGTTTACTGAAATTTAGAGTTGGTGTAGGTGCAGTAACTGTACATCAGCATCATAAAGTACATTAGGTCTGTTGTACAGTGTTACCTAAGTTACAATAAAACTCTTTAGAATCATTAAACAAAAGATAAGCTTTGCAAAATATTTTTAAATGAGCCTGATGAAATGACTTATTATTCTATATAAAGGTTACAGTGGATTTCTATAGTCACACAATACATTTAAACTTATGAATCTTAATCTTTGAATGGAAAATACATTACATATGAAAGACTGAAGAAAAAGAAAACAAACTTCCATCTTGCATATTTTCTTCATTTGAGGCAGTACATTTCAGCTATAAAGTACGTAATAGTATCAGTTTTCGCCAAAAAAAATCCCACCTTTTGGAGCTATAAAATATACAGAACTGAAAGCTGACACCTAATATATTTTTCATTAGATACAGATGTCCAAAGTAAAGTTCTTTCTTCAAGTATCCATAAAGGCAGAATAACTGGAAAGTTGCAGGTATAATACAGAAAAAGTAAAAACCATGCCTTTTTGGTAAATTGCTAATGACTTTTTAATAAAAACCATTTTTATCCATATAATCTACAAGTTCTTTTAAATATATTGTACTCATCTTGTCACTTAACATTACAAATAGATCTTTAAATTGCCATGGAACTTAATGAAATAAAATTTATAAAGACCTCTTCCAGATGTAGAAAACCTTGTAAGTAATTTCTAAAGGGATAAATCAACAATTTCAAGTTTTTATTTTGTAGCTTGATATTTAGCTAGTAATTTTTAGTTAGCAATTTTATTTCTACATATATACTTTGGTTATAAAAAACTTCCTTATTCTTAGAAGGTATAAGTCCAGATGACAAATGCACAAATAAAAATATTTTAATAAAAAATTTTTGTATCTTTATTATAAAGATACAAAACTTGCATTTAAAGTTGTATGCCACTCAGTTTAATTCCTTAATTGAGTGGCATAAAACTTTGAAATAATAGTAGCAATGTATAGGATACCTTTGCGGTAAATACTTAGAAATACTGGTGCTTGGACCATCTGCAAAAGTCATTATCTTGTGAACTAAGATATGAACTGTCCAATAGGAAAAAAATAAACACTAAAAAAATTCTTTCTCTTTCTCACAAAATGATTAGCTTTAAACTACCTTACTATTTTGCTTTAAATTAACTACCTTTCACAAAAAATAGTACCAAATATTTTGTTTAAAAGTTTCAGTTTCTTTCTTTTTGATTATACACAGTCACTGAATGTGTGCATTAGGTGCCTGATATGTATTATACTTCTGTAGAAAACACACACACACATGTGATTTAGAAGTTTATAATTGATAATAATTTTATAAAATTTTCCTAGCAATGCATATTTGATCAGTACAAACTTAATTCTACTCATAAGTACCACTATGTAGAAAATATATTAGTGTGCACTAGGAGATACTTCTTGAGTTCATGGTGAAAGAAAATAGACTGTCCAGGAGCATAGAAGGTAGGAGTCTATACAGGCAGGAGATATGCCAGGACCAAAGGCATGACTCTAAGAAACAGGAAGTTCTCCTAGAAGAATCACAAAATCAGGGTACAGATCAAGGAGCAGGGCATAAGTACTTTAGATTAGGAAGGTGTGTTCAAGATTTATGAATAGGACTTAGGATATTAGATTTTTATTTATTTTGAATGTATATGATTTTATTTTCTTATAACAGATGAGGAACTATCCAATTAAGATGAAGAATCTTTCGGTGATGTTGAGCAGTATTAATTTTAGTAATGACTGGTATATATTGAAAAGAGAAGCCAAAGATTCAGGAAATTGTTTTGGAAATTGCTCTTCTTGTTGCTAGAAGTGTAGAGAGAACTTGAAAAATAAGACTGTGATACTAGAAACTGGAGAAACCATTAATGTACAGGACTTGTGACTAAAAGGTTATAGGAACTGGAACTAGTTTATTATTATGATTATTATTATTATTATTTTGCTTTTTGGGTCACACCCGGTGATGCTCAGGCGTTATTCCTGACTTTGCACTCAGGAATCATTCTTGGTGGTGCTCAGGGGACCATATGGGATGCTGGGAATTGAACCCGGGTTGGCCATGTGCAAGACTAACGCTCTACCCGCTGTACTATTGCTCCAGCCCGAAACTAGTTTTAAACTTTGAGAAGTATAGAACCAGGAAAAGGAGAGTGCTCTGGAAGACAGAAGTTATGAGCAATATGTGAAAAAATAAATTAGTTATCCTATAGGGCTTGATCAGAAATTATTGGAGACAGTTAAAGGATAATGAGGACATGGAACATTATAAAATTAATTGTAATGATTGTACAACTCTATCAATATATTAAAAGCCAATGAATAGTAGTCTTTAAATGGGTAGATTGTATATAAATTGATTATACTATAGAAAATTTTATGAATTTTTTAGTAATTTCATTAATTTTAATATAATTAAATTTTACTTTAGGATCAGATAAGAAGAAAAATAACTTTTAACAGGGAAACATTGAAGTGTCAGGGAACAGTTGTGAATCATGCTCATCGTAGCAATAATGGAAGTTAGGATAGGTATGAGAAGAAAGAAAGCATCAGAAATCTGTACCTGATCATTCCATTGTTCAAGTGCTCCAATGGATTGGGGATTAGAGAAATAGTATTTGCTTACAGATAACTTATTATTTGAATAAACTATTAGCAAGAAAAATAAGTTCAATAGAATTTTTTTATTTTCTCTCAATATTTCTCAAGGAAGAAATATTGTCTCTTTATTTATTTTTTTAAAATTTATTTATTGAATCACCGTGAGAACAGATACAAAGCTTTCAGATTTAAGTCTCAGTTATACAATGATCAAACAACCCATCCCTTCACCAGTGCATATTTTCCATCACCAAGAACCCCAATATACCCCCCATCTCAACCTTCCCAATACCTGTGAGGCAGATGATTTCCACTTAACTCTCTCTACTTTGATTACATTCATTATTTCGACAAGAGATGCACCATTATTATTTGGAATTTTCCCCCAACAATCAAACCTGCTGAAAAGGTTTGATTTTCATTGAAAATCATATACTATAGAAAATCATTATTTCAAGTGAAATAATTTTTTTCATTGCTGGTTATGAAGACCATATGATGTTGCATTGCCGTGATTTTGGATTTCTGATATTTTACTAATTAAGTCTGTAGGGATTTCTGCCAAAAGCCGCATAGTTCCGAGATTGGTTTGTGTGCTTCTGGGACCATGGCTGTGCTGGAGAGCCGCTCGTGGGGGGCAACTCATGGTCTCGGTGGGGCAAGAAGGATGTGCCAGTTCTGTCCCCCATCCTATGAGGCTGCAGTTGCCTCGTCACCGCCAGCTCATACCTAGCTGTCCAATAAGCTCTGAGGTGAGGTGGCAGCCACTGTGCTGCCAGGGGTGGAGCGGAAGGCAGAAGAGACAAACACCCTTTCTCTCCCAGAGAGGTACGGCTTAATGCATAGTCCATTCTCTTTTCTGCCAAAAGCTGCTGGGTTCCGAATTAGGTCCGTGTGTCTCTGGGGCCATGGCCATGCCAGAGAGCTGCTCATAGGGGGCAACTCATGGTCTCTGTGGGGAAAGAAGCAATTCAATAAAATTTAGATACGTGACTTTATGCATTGGTTATGCCATCAGAGCTACCAAAGCAGCTAATTTTGAACCATACCTGGCAGTGCATAGGGCTTACTCCTGGCTCTGCACGTAGGGATCACTCCTGGCCTCCTCCGATGACCATATTAGTTTCCAGGAATCAAACCTAGTCAGCTACATGCAAGGCAAATGCCCTGCTGGCTTTACTGTCATTGAGACCCCAAGGTAACTAATTTTTGCAAATTATTATTGTTATTGCTTGAGCGGGCCCAGTAACGTCTCCATTGGAGACTTTGTTGTTACTGTGTCTGGCATATCGAATACTCTCGGTAGCTTGCCGGGCTCTCCGAGAGGGGCGGAGGAATCGAACTCGGGTCGGCCATGTTGGCCACGTGTAAGGCGAACGCCCTACCCGCTGTGCTATCGCTATCATTTTGAATTTGGGGGTTATACCCAGCAGTGCTTAGGGCTTACTCATAGCCCTGTGCACAGGGGTAACTCCTGGAGCTGCTAGGGATACAAACCGGAGTCAGCTGCATGCAAATCAAGTTCCTTATCTCCTATACCATCTCTTTGGCCACAAGTGTTTGATTTTTAAAATATTGTGGCTTTATTTCAAAGTAAAAAAGAAAGCCATGACATTGTGGTCAAAACCATAAACATAACACAAAATAACAGCTCTGCTTCATACTTCTTTTTTGTTGCAGGGTGAAATAATTTAGAGTCATTAAAAGTGTGTGTTGAATGACTCTCAGAGACTAAATTGTACTTTGCTGGCAAAGCCAGTTCTTTGAGTTTTGTTGATGAGTTGGATTTTATTCCTTCAGAAACCTACACAGTCAAGTTCTTTCACAGAAGATACAATTTTTTTCTACTCTTAATGTATACAAAACATAGCACTATGTAGTTGGAATGATATAAATATAAATATCAAATGTTTACAAAGGAAGAAGAGCAGAAAATTCTAAAGAAATGATTATTTCTTGGGTATTCTTGTAACAATTATGTAACTCCATGGAATATGTAGATAGTTTGGTGATTAAAAATGTGTTACAGGTCGCTCTTCAAGCCCATGTTCTGCCTTGAACATTTATCTCACTTGCTTGTCTCTGTGTACCTTTCTTTACTGGCCTATTTCCCCTCTGGAGAAGCCCATATTCTCTCTTGATTAAACACTTCTCTCTTTCTCTTCCCTCACATCATTCCAAATAAGTTTCAGTAAAAACCATCTTGCTTTACCGCCCCCCCCTCCAAAGTGTATCACACATGTTGGGATGAATGCAACATTTGTGTTGGTTAACTACTATTTTATAATGCTTCTTTTGTTTGATGCAGGGAAGGAAATTACAGCAGAAACTTTTATGGAGAAATTGGATAATGGTGCCTTGCTCTGTCAACTTGCAGAAAGTGTGCAAGAAAAATTCAAAGAGTGCATGGATGCTAACAAGCCCACAAAGGTAAAAGATCCTAAGGCAAGATCACTGTCAGGTGATGATTACATTTGTAATCACTTAGGAATTGACTGTAACTTAAGGGTTTTGTTGTGAATAGATTCATTAATTTCTCTATTAATAATACCAATAGAAGACAATTTTTAATTAGGAGACATGTTCTCTCACTCTAATGAAATAAATTACCTAATAATTTTGATAAATATAATTAAGAGCCATGAGAAGTGATGGTATTAATACAAAGTAAGTACTGTGTATAGGCTGGCATAAACTGATGCACTGATTGAAAATTTAAGAAATAACTTATGTCATCAGGTAATGTACAAATCTATAGGAAATCTTATAAATAGGTAGAAAACAAAGAGATTATTATGGAAGACTATTGAGACAAAATATATAAAGTATGCATTTGTTTTATGTAAGTGGAAGCATTAAAAATAATTTTCTGACTGCTAATATTTATTTTCTATAAACTAAATTTTCTGTTATCAGCACAGAATCCTTGATATTTGACATGTTTTGAATAAAACAGATAACTGCTATTTAAAACTTTTTTTTAATTATAGAAGGAAAAAGATAAGATAATTGTTAGGGTTGGGGCCAGAGTGGGTAAAGTGTTTGCTTTGCACACAGGTTTAATCACCTGGCACCCTATATATTCCCTAACCCTGCCAGGTGTGAACCATGATCCCAGAGCCCAGAGTAAGCCTTATATGTCTCTGCAGATGGCCTAAAAACTTAAAAAAAATTAAAATGGTGATAAAAAAGTTGAACATTGAACTATTAAACTTTGACAACTCTGGCAAAGTAATAAAATTGATAGTATGTATAATCTCATTTAGGTAAGATCATATCAATAGTTTAAGCTCCCTAAACAATGTACTGTTTTATAGTTCTATACTTAGTTTTAAAAATACTTTTATCAATAGATATTGTGTACATATTGCACGAAGCCCTTTCATGTTTTTTTTTTATCTCCAACACATATCTTTGAAGTTGCTAATTAGCTCAGTGCATTCCAAACTTGCTTCACACTAAACGAGTCACCTGAATATTTTTAAAATAACTGAGACCTAACTCCCCCGCTGAACATTATGATCTAATCCCTATGGTGTACTCCCTGCAGAATACTATGATCGCTCAAAGTCTCTGTGGGTGATTCCAATGTTCAACAAAGTTTTGGAATTACTGTTTTCATTTCTATTTCTCCATCAAATGTATGTTTGGAGTATTTGAACATATCCTCCATTAAATGTATGCTAGGTGATTTTGTGTGAGGCCACATCCAAAGTAAATGACCATGCAGGACAGAATCCTCTGTGGAGCTATAGTGCTTTCTCATTTGGTTCACAAGTATAAAAATGCTTTGTGCTCTGTAAAGTGATAGCACTTTAAGATCATTTATTCTTTTTCCATTGTGATATAATTGCACTTCATGTTACCTATTAGAAAACAATGATTTTTGGAGAATCAATTTTATAGAAAATTTCTCATAAAAGAATTGGCATAGAGAAAATAATACTTTTATCAATAGATAGTGTGTAGATATTACACAAGCCTTTTTATGGTTTTCATCTCCAACTCACATCTTTGAAGTTGCTAATTAACTCAGCACATTCCAAACTTTGCTACACACCGGACAGTCACATGAATATTTAGACCGTTTTTCTAGATATTCTAGAATGTTTAGAATATCATCTAGAATATTCTAGACAATGTGTCTAGACTCTTGAGATCAGTGTGAAACCACTACTTGTGTTGCACATAGGAGAGAAGTGAACCTGCTACCCACTGTTAGGGTCTTGAATCCTTGCAGCCACAAAGAATAATGCCTCTGTTAAGTAGCTAATGTGAGATTGTCTTCTTTCTTTTTTCTATGAGTTTAAGATTTTTTTTCTTTTTTGGATTTTTGGTCACATCCAGCGATGCTCAGGGGTTACTCCTGGCTCTACACTCAGGAATTACTCCTGGCAGTGCTCAGGTGACAAGATGGGATGTCAGGGATATTGAATGCTGGTCAGCTGTGTGCAAGGCAAACAACCTACCTACTGTACTATCGCTGTTTTTTGAAAAGAGAAGCTAAGATCCCCAGGTGGAACTGTAATTTTAAAATTTCCACTGTAAGAATTAGTCTATGGTTGAAAAGCTTTGAAGTTGACCACATTTTGCTTAGGTTATAACTTTGTATTTTATTAATTGGGAAAGCCTGTGACTTTATGAGAAATAGGACTAATATTTATGCATGATTTCCAGAAAGTGTTGATCAGGAAAAGGCTATAGGTAAATAAATATCTCTGTTCTGTATATTAAAGATTTAAGGAATCTTGAGGATCTTAGCCTTAAAAGAAACTAAGGAGAAAAAACTTGCATTATAAATATTGATCCTGAGAGTTATTATATGCAAATACAAAATGCTATGTTTGCCTTAATCTCCATGATCATATATAGAGTAGAATAGATCAAGTTTTTGATAGCTGTTATTTCACTTGGAGAATTATTTCAAGTACATCAATGCTACTGTAAAACTATGAAACATAAAAAAAGAAATAGTGGAATTTTTTTAAGTGAATAATCTTGCAGGATTTAATTAATTTTGAAGCATTTCCTTGATCCTGTTATTTGCTTAATCAAATACAAAGTTCAAGTTCATTCTGCTTATGTGAAATATATTTTATTATGATAAAAACTCTACTATAGTAACTGAACAACTATAGGCTTAAAAGAGTATACTGTGACTTCACTCCTAGGGCTGAGAAAAATCAAATTTAGTCTGAGTTATAAGTTGACACATTGTTCATAACTGAATTGACTTCTGTGTCCTTGGCAGAATTTATGTATTTCACTACTGACTTCCAATAACATGCAGCTTAAATAAAAATGGTATGTGCCTTGCTACATGAAAAATCATAGAATGCTTTTTTATTTTTAATATAGTATGAGAATTTTTTCAAAAGAATATAAACCAAAAGCTCATCTTCATTGCTAATGTTCACAAATACAATTTTGTTGACATTTGTGACTTTAATCTACCTTTGTCTCCCAAATTATGTATTATATAAGATTATATAATATATTTTATTAGTATTGAATCAAAATTTAAAAATAACACTAGCCTCACTAAAACCCAAGTAGTTATACTTGCGTGAAATATTTCTTGTAAAACAATAATAGAGGTTTCAAAGTAGGTATAAATTACCTGGTTATGATATTGAATCTTTGTGTATGTGTGCATGTGCGTAATACCTTTCAATCCTGGCATTTCAAAATTTCAGAACAATAGTGGTGAATATAAAAGATATATTTTGTCCCCTTTGTCTAAATTAGTGAAACTATGTTATTTTTAGGGAATATTAATTCAGAATTAGTTTAGAAAATTAATAATAAATGATCTCATTTAAATCATGTCACAAGAAGACTTTTGTATTATTCTTCTATAAGTTTGCATCTCATGTCTTCATTCTCAAAGCAATATTTTTATTTTTCCTGATTGAGAGGTAATTTGGTGGGGGGGGGGATTTACAGCTGTGTAAGCACATTTGAATGTATAGCTATGCCTGGTATGTGTGAAATATTTATGTTATGGATGATTTAAACGTTGTTAATATTTAAAAATAACTTTTAATAAATACATTAGGGAGTGTGCTTTTAATATTTTTATTATAAATATGACTTACATTCTATTCTGGCTTGATAAAATACTCTGAATAAAATTTAAATATGTTTTATGATTCTTTCTAGGCATCAGTTGTTACTACAAGTAATTTTAGTCTTTGTGTTTTCCTTATTTTGCATACAAAAAGATTTTTTAAAAGGTAGACTATTTTGGTAAAAGTATTTGAGACCAGTGTGTAAGAACTTCATTCATTCATTCATTCATCATCCTGTTATTCGTCGATTGCCTCGAGCAGGCCCCAGTAATGTCTCTTTCATCCTAGCCCTGAGATTATATTCAAGGCTCTTTGGGAGAGTGAGACCCATCATTGTTACTGGTATTTGGCATATTTGGTAAGCCATGGGGAGTTTGCTAGACTCTGCCCTGTGGGCAGGCTACATTCGATAGCCTGCAAGTTTGTAAGAACTTACTGTATAATTTTATTTTAATAGTTTATATCTACCAAGGTATGATAGATTCACTATATATTTTTGAAGCTGTGATTTTTAATAAAAAATATACATTCTCCCCCCAAAAGAAAGACTACTTCACTATTACTTTAGTATGAAGAGAAAAACAAAATAAGCATTAATTTCATGGTTCTGTTTTTGTGGTTTTTGACCCATAGTTACTTCAATCAAGACCCAGTAATCATTATATTCACATATGATCTTTCCCATCCTATTCCAGACAGAGTTCAACTACTCTATGAGCCCCTTTTTACTGTAGAGTTACTCTGTTCTTTTTCTACCTGCTGATTTGTGTATGAGATATTTTTAACCACTGAGGCATCAACATGGGGCAGTATACTTAAAAAGTTCAACCTCTCATTTTCTCCTAGCATTCCTTTTCATTTGTCTCATTTATCTTGACAGTCACTATCCCAAACATCAGAGTTTCCAGGGGTTCAGAGCTTCCTCTGAATTCAAAGAAGTGGCTATTTAGAACAGGTTTGAAGCCCAAGAAGTGAAAGGAAGGGGAAAAAAAAGTAGTTCTATTACCTACTATAATGCTACATTATGCTGATAGGAAGGGACTCAACATTCATTATCTAAATGTAGAATCCAGTCCTTGTTTGTAGGAAAGAACACCCTATTCAGATATAATGCCTATAGTACATTTGCCCATCAAGAATAACTAGTATTTTGAAGTGCAAAATAACAATACCTCAGGATGTTGTACTATCCGGAAGTTAAATAATACATAAAGATCAGAGATTTCACCTCAAAAATCAATAGCTCATTTTGTTTAGAGAATGTCTTATAATGATTGAATTTGGAGAGATCCAGGAATTTATACTTACTGTTGATATTTCAGACAAAATAAGAAAGCATGGTAGAAGTGATAGAATATT